TTGCACAATCGTCGTGGTTGGAGCGGAGGAGGCATTACCATGTCCCCTCTAGCTGGTGGCTTGTGCTGCTCTTCACCCTGCTGTTGGTTTTGCTGTTTGGGGCTGTGCTGTGAACTAGGTTACGGAAAGGCTCCCAGACAAAAGCGTGGCGAGGGGGGGAGAAAAAGGGGGTTTTTGTTGTTGTTTTGTTTTCCAGCCGTGGCGTTTGCTCGCTGAGAATTGTGTTGACACAACCAAGAGTGGTGAACCGTGGTGTGGAGGTGGAAGCTACTTAGACCGGCTTTCTTGTCAGTGCCAAAATCCAGTGCAACTGTACCCTCGGGCTGTAGGAGCTTTCTTTCACACAGGGCTAGAAGCTCTGCAAACAGACCATGCCTTCAGTGGCATCCTGCAAGATGTAATGATCCACTGTGAAGCCGTTTCACTTGGCTGAATTGGGCTCTCAATTCACACTTGTTTGTGGAGGGATGAGGCCCCAAACGATGGGGCTGCTTCTTTATGCAGCACAGTTAGAATAATAGAATAGTTTGGGTTGGAAGGAGGGATCTCTAAAGGTCACCTGGTCCAACCTTCCCTGCAGTGAGCAGGGACATCTTCAACTAGAGCGGGTTGCTCAGAGCCCTGTCCAACCTGACCTTGAATACGTCCAGGGATGGAGCATCTACCACCTCACTGGCCAACCTGCTTCAGTGTTTCACCACCCTCATTGTAAAAAATGTTCTTCCTTGTAGCTAGTCAAAATCTTCCCTCTCTTAGTTTAAAGCCATTACCCCTTGTCCTATTGCAACAGGCCTTGGTGAAAAGTCCCTCCCCATTTTTCCTGTAGGCCCTCTTTAAGTACTGAAAGGCCACAATAAGGTCTCCCCAGACCTTTCTGTCTTCTCCAGGATGAACAACCCCAAACTTAAGTTGTCCTTGCCCAGAGGTGTAGTGTTAAGAATCATCATTAATCGTGATTTATTAGTGGAGGCATTTGAAGACTGGGCTTAGTTTGGATATGGTTGTGCTATGTAAGGTACACATGCAGCTTGTCTTCTCCACATTTGCTCAGGCTCTAGTGGTGGGCACTGTTGGGGGGGTGGCTAGTCCAGGGTTGGCTTCTGTCGATGTCATTGAAAGAGCTCCAACCCAAAGATGTAGTTTAATGTGTTAGTTGCCTTTCAGTCCCCTCCCCAGTAGTTCCAGAAGCTGGGGAAGGCTGATGCCCTTCCTATTGTAAAATAGACCAGGAGGTAGGTAACCTGCTCGGCTTGGCTATGAGGAGTGTGTGTTTGGACTGTGCTCCTCCCTCCTTGATTTCTTCATTTCATCCTGCTCAGACTGGGAGTGGTGTCTAGCTAGCAGCCTGAGCTACCCTTTGTTGGCCAAATCTGGGAAGCTTTGTGGACCATCAGCCTGGGTTGGGCACCAGACAAACCCAGTGGGGCTTCTGCTTTTTCCAGCTGAAGTTCAGCAGCCCTGTAACTACCTTGGCAGGAAGATCTATTGAGCCACCGTCATGTCCTGCAGCTGGGGGTCAGGAGGTGCTGCCGAGTCCCCAGGTTCATCGTGTTGCTTTTGACAGCAATCCAGGAGGCTTAACGTTTTTTTTTGGGGCCCTTCTTGTTGACTTTTCACAGAGCTATGTCAAAACCGTTGCTCTTGTTTACACAGAAAGCGAAAGTTGGCATGATCCAGCCTGCCCCGGCGTTTCTGCCTTAGTCTTCCCATGAGTCTGCTTTTCTGTGCTTCATGCCCAGCAACTGCCTTGCTTCACCCACCATCAGATGGGCACCGCTCGCTCGCCATTCCTGTCTAGGCAGCCTGTGCGTTTCCACAACAGCCTCAGATCACCTGCTGAAATGTTCTCCGACATCTCCAGGGAAGTGTGAGCCTGTGCTGCTGGGGTGAGAGAGGGCAGAAGAAGGACTCTGCTCCCAGTCCCTCTCCTGGCTCTGATTCTTCTCTCTGGGAGTCCGGGGGAAAAAAAAATCTGTTATGTGGTGAGAGGAGAAGGCTGGGAGTTGATAGTTTCCTAGAAGCCTGGGAAAAGTGCATAACCCTTACTGATGGATGCCAACAGCTTTCCGTGCTTTCCCTATTCCGGTAGGGTGGTGGTATGTATTTGTAAAGAGAGTGGTTGTTCTCAGAGGGACTCTGGTAACATCACACACAGTCGGTGGTTTAAGCCTGTGATACTTGTTACCACCTTTTGTACAATTGAGGATGTTTCTGTTCTGTTAACATCTAATGTTTGCAAACTCCTGTGTAGCCATCTCCTCTACTGGTATCGCAGAGGTGCTACCAATGCTTTTTGGTGGCCTCGCCTCCATTTCTTGGGGAAGGACAGACACAGAGGAAGGATTTTGCCAAGGTTGCCCTGGACAGAGATGAAAGCCAGGTTTAGTGAGTCCTAGCCCGTTGCCTACAGGCTGCGTGCAAGTCCAGGGAGTTAACAAGTGTTAGCATCATGTGTCCCAGGCTGGGGGATTTTCATTCCTGCTACAGTAATGATGCCGTTTTCCAAACTCTGCTGTGCCTTGGCTTGATGTCTTGCTGTGTTTAAATTCATCCTCGTTCCTCCCTTCCGAACTGAGCCTTATGTTCCCATCCTTATTTGTCCTTCCTGGATTCTCTGCTGCCTTTAAGGAGCTTCCCCCAGGCACGATGTGCCTGTAGAAGCCCGGGAATCCACAAAAGGTCCCTCCCCTGCTTTCTCCTCTCCAGAAGCCCTGGCAAGCCCGGGTGTTGTGCAAATACCTGCAGCTCCCCGTGCAGCCAGGAACGCTGCTTTAATGGTGCTGCAGATTGCACCACCCACCAAGGAACCCTGTGGGGAAGGAGGCTTCGTTCTTTGGCACGGTTTGTGTGTGGTAGAGCTCTCTGCTCGCTTAGGAGCTTTTCTGGAGGTGTTACTGGAGGAAACTTAGGGCCGGAAAGAATAGTTGGCTGAGTATAAAGCCTGACTTCTGTTGTTGTCCCTCGGTGTTTGGGGAAGGGGGGGTGGGGAAGGCAGTGGTTTCTTGCTGGCAGCTTTGAAAACTGCTGGGAGCAGAGAATAGCGGAGGGATCAGATGTAATTTTAAAGTGGTATTTTGCCCGCTCTGAAAGGGTGTTGTGGCTGCAGCCCTCCGTCCCACCAGCACTGGCTGGAGGCAGCGGTTGCCTGGGCAGGAGGAACATGAGAGTGCTTTTCATGGAATCACGGAATTGTCAGAGTTGGAAAGGACCTCTAGAGATCATCTAGTCCAACTCCCCTGCCAAAGCAGGATTGTCTAGAGCACATCACTCAGGACTGCATCCAGGCAGGTCTTGAAGATCTCCAGAGAAAGGGACTCCACAACCTCCCTGGGCAGCCTGTTCCAGGGCTCCGTCACCCTCACCGGAAAGAAGCTTTTCCTCGTAGTTGAATGGAACTTCCCGTGTTCCAGCTTGTGCCCGTTGCCCCTCGTCTTATCGCTGGAAACCACTGAAGAGAGTCCGGCTCCATCATCCTTCAACCCACCCTTTAGGAGCTTGTAAACATAGATAAGGTCTCCCCTCAGCCTTCTCTTCTCCAGGCTAAAGACCTCTTTGAGCCTTTCCTCATAAGGGAGGTGCTCCAATCCCTTAATCACCTTAGTTGCCCTCCATTGGACTCTCTCCAGTAGTTCCCTGTCCCTCTTGAACTGAGGAGCCCAGAACTGGATGCAGTATTCCAGTTGTGGCCTCACCAGTGCAAAGTAGAGAGGGAGAATGACCTCCTTCGACCTACTGGCCACACTCTTTCCTATGCAGCCCAGGATTCCATTGGCCCTCTTGGCAACAAGGGCACATTGCTGGTGAATGGAAAGTTTGCTATCCACCAGGACTCCCAGATACTTCTCCTCAGAAGTGCTTTCCAGCAGGTCTACCCCTAACCTATATTGGTGCCTGGGGTTCTTCCTCCCCAGGTGCAGGACCCTACATTTGCCCTTGTTGAACCTCATTAGGTTCTTCTCTGCCCAGCTCTCCAGCCTGTTCAGCCTTTTCTTGTGCCAAACTCTGGGCTCTGCCAAGGTACCTCTGTCTGGAGCTCCAACCTCTCCGTCTGCACCTCCTTGCCGTTTACATGCACTTCCCCAAACCGGCAACTGCCTCCCCTCCTTTCCATTCCTCTTCTCACCTAGCGCAGGACTGTGGGTTTGGAAAGCTGGTTGGCATCTGCCCTTCTTCCCCACAGGGTTCAGGGGTTTTTAACGTGTCAGTGTTGGGAATTGTTCTGGTGTCGCCCTGCTCGTGTTCCAAAAGACATGACCCTCTTCTGCCCTTTACGGATGGGACGTAAGCTTCTGTTCCAAATGGAAGTACGTTGTAAGAAGCGTTGGCCCATATAAGCTAGATCTCTAATCAACTCTCGCTAGTGTTATTAGTATGTGTATATATAGATATAATTTTTAATAAAATTCAATTCTACAAGGCCCAAATTAGCTTCTAGAGGCAAAGGTTACAAAGAAAGGGAGGCGCTCTTAGTGCCATTGATTGTATAGTAACTGATGTTGTAAAATGGGCACACCTTGCAGTTGTGAAAACTGAAGGTTCAGACATGGTGGTCTGATCCTCTCCTGCGTTCCTACCCCTTCCCCCTATATTTAGACTATAATGCTGAGCATTGAGCTGTGCATTACACAAGTGAAGAGATAGGGGTGTGGAAGTCAAGCCCAGTACATATTCTGGGGGTGAATTGCTGTATTTAGGCTGCTGAGCCTTCTCCAAGTCACTGTCTTTTCCAGGTGACTTACGTTGTTTCTTATGGATTGTCATATCAATGGGCTAGACTTTGCAAAATAGAGGTATGTTATCAGCCTATTTAAAGCTCTACAAATGCATGTATTTCTCTAGACTGGAGAGAGAGATATCGGCCAGGATGAGCTTGCAGATTGGGCACAGTATGATGAGTGGTGATGTGTGGCCAGGGTGAGGGAATTGCCGTAGTCTGTTACCATAGGATGTTGTTTTGCTTTGCTTGGAGTGCACTTCCATGCCCATTTGTCTTTCCTTAGGTCGATCGTGAGGAGCCAGGCACCCTCCCTTCCCGCCCTTCTGATCAGATTCCTTTTATATGAAGCTCATCTGCTCCCTGAGGGCCAGACCTCACTGATGACTGGGAAGCAAAGAGTACCTAGGAAAGCACTTTTACCACGGACTCCACCTCGGGAGCACCACGAACCCATCTTCTAAGTGTGCCCCTTCCGTGCGGACCCGATGTCTGCTGCAATGGATACAGAATCAACGTATTCGGGATACTCCCACTACTCAGGTCACTCCAAAAAAGCCCACAGACAAGGGTAAGGGAATGTTTATTTTTATTTACTTGCTGCTGTAAGCTAGCACCATGGCCCGTGGGGAAAAAAAAACCTGTAAGCCAGGATGCAATCAGTGGGGCCACAGCTCTGGAGGAAGATATGTAGGGAGAGTCCTCATGAGGAAGCCAGTGAGGAGACTGGAAGTAATAAAGCCGCTAATTTAATGATATTCAACCTGTTGGATGCATTCTCATATCATGTATGGCCAGAAAGATTAAGTGCCACTGTAAGAAAACAGTCACTTAACTCTGCTCTTAAAGTTTGAGGGATGAGGTCTTCTCTGGGGAGAAGACATGTCAGACTTCCTAAACTGATAATTGCCAATTGTTTCCTATTCTGATGCCGTTTCTTTATTGTGTAAAAGAAGGTTTCCTATCTCTCCCCACCATCCTCCTGGCTACTCTTGCTAGTGCATTGAGATTTTTTTAATAGAATTCAAGTGGTACTTGAGTCAACAACAAGTCCTTTATCAGCATTGATTGGATTAGAAGTCAGGCTTTTCTGAACTTGAATAGCAAGTCCTCTCTGTGCTAGTTCAGCAGCCTTAAGAACCATTTTGCTCTAAAATTTCAGATTACTTGGAAACATTATCCTTTTTTTCCCTCCATCATTATTAGTTTTACATGCAAAACGTGTGCCACTTGCAGTCTTTGCAACTTAGAACTAAGCTGATCTAAAATAACTTTGTATTTCAGAAGCAATTATCCTGTGTGGTTGGAAAAATAATTCTTCCATGAAATGAAGTCTTTTTGCTCACAGTCCAGTTACTGAGTAAAATGTCTCGTTTGCCTTTTCCGCCTTCATTAACACCCACATCCCCCAGTATGAGTTGCCCTTTGAAGCTTAGACTGCCATGTGGAAAGATGCTTTCAGAGTTCCCAAAACAACGTACAAAATCCTACAGTCTGTTGCTGTGAACGGGAAAGAGTCTCATCCCATGATAAGACTTTGGTAGTTCCAGGAGAGATGCAATAGAGAAAGCAGAGCTGGGACGTGGGATGCTCCTGAGGTTTAAGCTGGTCCATGAGCACACTGAGGGCCTCTGGTGCAAAGGCTGCTTTTGTGTCCAGATAGGAAGGGGGAGGAAAATATTGGTGAGAAAATTGTCTCAAGATGAGTTAAGCCCCAACATTCTCAGACAAGAAGCACTGGGGTCTAAAAGGGTACTCTGGAAGTAAGCAGTACCCTGATACCCTTGATGTTCCTGCCACCTTTGTAAGCAGAACTGGGGGTTATTAACCAGTCGAAATAAACTTCACCAATAGTCCTACAATGTTAAGGACCTAGTTGTTAAGTCTGCTTTGCAGCAACTAAAGCAGTCTTGATCAATTTTAACTGTACGTCTCCCTGTGAGATGCTTTATTGCAGGTGGAGAGCTGTGTAGACCAGTTAATTCCCTGCCCATGGCGGGGGGGTTGGAACTCAATGATCTTTGAGGTCCCTTCCAACCCAAACCATTCTATGATTCTATGAATCCCAAATGGAATTACTGCTTGTTGGGAGAATGTGAGCTCCCCTTTCCAGTGCAGCACTGGCAGAAGCTGTTTTAAGAGAAGATGAGGTGGTGGGGATGTCCCCCTGTCCCGTTTGCTCCCCTCTCTATTCACTGAGAGGGCAGACTGTCCCAGCCACCAGGCTGTAGGTTGCTCTGAGCAAGGTCCCTTTCTACCTCTTCCGAAGCTTGTTTTATCACAGATTGGGTAAATATTGATCAAGAGGAGGGTCAAGCACGACTACAACTTAGGGCCCCTGCTGCAGGTTGAGGTGTAGCAGTTTCCAGGCCTGGCTCCCAAAACTGTCTGCTAACGTTGTTCTCTTCTTGCTCTTGTTTGGAAAAGGAGTCGGGACAGGCACAAATCTCCGCGGAGCAAAGACGGCAGTCGGTCCGAGAAGTCTGTCACCATCCAGACACCTCCAGCAGAGCCGCTGCTGGGGAACGATGCCTCTCGGGCAGAGGAGGGCCAGGTAAGGAGGGAATGAAAGCAAACAGGGAGTGTGGTTCCTGCAACAGAGCGTATGGCTTACTGGCACATGAGCAGGAAAAAAAAAAAAGAAAAAAAGTGTTGTTCACATGCTGTTAGTAAAGAATCATGAGTTATGGGCATCCTTTGTTCATGCACGAAGTCAAGGTCTCAATCAGTTATGTCTTTTTTCAGAGAGCATTATTTTTGACAGCACCAGTTGCTGATGTGACTACTCCTGGGGCACTAATTTGCCTCCAGAGCGTCATCTGCCAAGCTCTATAGAAGCATCTTGTTTCCATCATCTCGCTATGCATTATTCAGGTCAAGCCTTTCACCTGTATGCACGCTTTTGTTTTTGAGCAGGATTTGCTCTGGATCCCAGTAGGGAAAGGAAGCAAGAAATGTAAAACTAATGTGAAATAGCTGGGAAGGAGGGTGGACTCGGTGAAAGCTAGTATATTAACACTGGGTTAAACAAAGAATGCAATAATGCTGGCTTTAGATTGCACCTAGGATGGATCCAGTACTCTCTCTACTCTAGCAGCTGATGTGAAGGTACATATTCATTTTCAAAGCATGGCTGATGCCACAAGACAGAATGTGGGATGTTTCAGTACCTCCTGGATTGGATTTGAGGTGTGTTAATCCTTGGCTGTGGGGCTCCATCTCTCCACATCCAAAAAAAAAAAAATAAAATTGATGCCCAATTTCTACCCAAACTGTGAATGATGATACTTGTAAAAGTATTCATGAAGCTACAGGTGGGCTCACTTCATGTACTGCCATTTGGTATTTTGTATTCAGATGCTTGTTTTTATGAATCCCAAATATTACTTAGAAGAGATGTAAAGGGGCCGGTGAACTCTTAAGCCCTTGTTTTCATGCAGACCTCCTCAATGTGAAATAAAGTCAAAGCAAAATAAGGTGATGTATGAGCAAGACTTGCCTTCTAGGGAGCAGGGTGTCCTGGCTTAGGTCCAGCAACTTTGTACCACTGGAGATTTAGACTTATATTTTTATATAACTCCATGATTTTTTTGCTTGTGCCATTTAAAGTGGGAAAAGTTGTTAAAAGGGGTAGACTGGGACTAGGATTGCCTGTTGTCTTCTGGATTGTAGCCTTAAGCTGCCATGGTATTTCTGTCCCTTCTCTCTTCTGCACAGTTTCTCAGTCCATCAAATGGAGGAAACTGCACAGAACTATTTCATGCCTAAACATAAAATAGTTGAAATGCTTAGATTGCTTTACTGGAGTTACTAGCAAAGAGGGAAATGTGATAGGATTATGCTGCCTTTCAGGACGTACTACAACACAGATATCTCTTCTGGGGCCTCTGTTGTCATCAGAAGTGACTCAAAAAAAACCCCTCATATTAATTCAAGATGCTGAGTGTTTGTGGTTGGTCTGTCTCAAAATCCTACTGCTCTAGGCATGGGAGGTTTTCACATCTTGGAGTACATTAGAAGTTAAATCCCTGGAGTTGCTCAAAGCATTCATGCTGCCTCTGTCTACTCCTTTCCCAAAGATTCTTGAAGACTCTTTCCTCTGACTCTTCTAAATAAGCGAATAAAGGTTTTAAATGATGCCTGTTTCTTTAAGACAAAATGCTTTGATCTGCAGAAATCTTGAGGAAAGTGTAAATCCTATTAGTGACAGAGGCTGCAGGAAGGTACACTCGGGAGGAGAGGAGAAAGAGGAAAAACGTGTGCTTCTGAAGGAGCGTTGGGGCTACAAAGGTGTCAGGTGCCAACCAACAAAGCACATGCTTTGCTGCTCTTCGGTGTGTATTTGTGGGAAGCATCAGGAGCCTTCATGTGTATGAGTCACTCCAGCAGCAGCTGTGAGTCAAATCCGTACATGTCAGCATAACTCTGTAAAAGAGCAGTAAAGAGCAATTGGAGGCATCGTGGGATGAGAGAATTAGCTTGCAGAAGTCCTCTGATACAAGCTAGGGAAGAAATTAGACTTTCAGAAAGTGTAATTAATAAGAATCTTGACTATATGGCGACTGTATTTCAGGTAAGCTTATTTGTGGCTGTCTCCTGGAAATGTCCTGGACTCAATACCAGAGCTACCAGGTAGTCTAGGATCCTTTAAATTTAAAGCCTGAAAATACCCTCTTTGATCACCTATGATTTGTTGGTTTAACTAAACTTTTATTAGAATATGTCAGCTATTAAGGGCAGTGCTACTGGAGAGGAGAACAAAAAGAAAACAAAGTGGAGGAACTTGCTTGAAGTGTGGTTGCTTCTGTTACGAATGGAAAAACAACGCGTGAACATGTTTTTGATTGTGTAACAACAACAACTGTCTTGAAACACTGAAATGAAAGTTTCCCTTCCAGGTGCTTCTGTGGTGCACTTGCACCACAGAATTTGCGGGCTGGAAGAGCGCTAGTCCTTGCCCTGCACGTGGGAACTGATGATTACTGCAGTTTCCAAGAGTTATGTGATATTACTCGTTAAGTGTGCTGGAAGAGGAACCTCTGGGGTACAGTGAGTGGCATAGCAAGTTGAGCTACCTGCTCTACAGTCACAGGTTTTTAATACCTAACGTTTATAGTCGCTGGTTTGGACAAGTTGCTTTTGTATCCAAACCTTTGTTAATTTTCAGGGTTGATTATTCAACATATTGAGGGTGTTGCTTTTGCTATTATTTTTTTTCTGAGACTTAAGTCTGTTGTAGCAATCTTTTTTCCAGGCAAGAAAAATAGAAGACCTGGAAGGAATAACCTGATTGTTTCAATATTATTTTTGTTTATTTCTTTCTCCCTCAGGATGACAACTGGGGTGAGACCACAACAGCAATCACAGGCACCTCCGAGCACAGCATCTCCCAGGAGGACATTGCCCGGATCAGTAAGGATCTGGAGGACAGCGTTGGGTTGGACTGCAAACGTTACCTGGGCTTAACAGTGGCAGCTGTTCTTGGACTCCTTGTCTTCCTTACCCCCATCGCCTTCATTCTGTTACCCCAGATCCTGTGGCGGGATGATCTGGAGCCGTGTGGTACTGTCTGTGAGGGACTGTTCATCTCTGTGGCGTTTAAACTCCTCATTCTTCTGATTGGCACCTGGGCTCTGTTTTTTCGCCAGCCTAAGGCAGATATACCAAGGGTGTTTGTGTTTCGGGCCCTTCTGCTGGTCCTCATCTTCCTGTTTGTGTTTTCCTACTGGCTCTTTTACGGCGTTCGCATCTTGGACTCGAAGGACACCAACTACCAAGGGATAGTGCAGTATGCGGTGTCTCTGGTGGATGCTCTGCTCTTCATTCACTACCTGGCCATTGTCCTGCTGGAGCTGCGGCAGCTGCAGCCCATGTTCACTGTCAAGGTGGTTCGGTCAACGGATGGAGAGTCGAGATACTACAGCTTGGGGCACTTGAGGTAGGTACAGGCCCTTGAAGGCCAGCAGTGTAGATAAGCGTGGTTATGCTACAGTGTGAAGCATCAAATGAAGTCACTGGTTTCTGAATCCTCCCCCAAGAGAGTCCTAGAGTGTCTCCAAAGTAAACTGAGCTTATCTACGTGACTGCGGGGAGGGGTTGTCCCTGTTTCAGAGAAGTCCTGGGCGTTTCTGTAAATGAAAAGAGCTGATGGCACAACTTCAGGCTGGTCATTGGGGGGTAAGTCCAATGAGATCTGGGCTTCTTACTCTGTCTCCATACTGGAGGAAAGGGGGAGAGGCCTCCCAGTGTGGTGGGGACTGGCTTGTGCTCTTTGGCTATATAAACCAGGCACCACTTTGAGGTCAGCCCTTCAGGCTGTGCAGAACGTTGCTCCTTGGGGCAGGGGCTGAAGGAAGAAGTAAGTGGCAGAGAAATCCTCTGTGTAAGAAAGCATCCAGCAACCAGATGTGCTGTTGAAAACATCCCTTTGTCCTCACTGCACTGTGCAGCTAAGAGTTGTGTGAGGAACCTGCGTGAACATCCCTCGTCGTTTGGGTCTGGTGTGCGCCTGTTGCAGACAGTTTGAAAGGCCTGTGTTCAGGTGTTTGTGCTCTGAAACCTGTTGCTGTGACAGGTTGGGGCTACCCTGAAGGGGCTTAGCCAGGTAGCTACACCTGGGATCGGATCCCGCTGTGGGATCTGAAGGCTGCTTCCAGTGACTGGGGACTCCTCCTTTGTTTCTAAGATCAGCAATTTTGTGTTGACTTGAGGGAAATAGTGTTTAGCCCTGCTGAAGCAGTTGCCTTGATGCAGCCAAAATCTCCCAGCAGTTCAGGTACTTAGGAATATTTTTAACAAGTACTGGGGCATATGTAGGTGCTTCTTTTGGCAGTGGCTATGCTGCTCCTGATTTGCCTTTGGAGTACAATGCTCTTTGTTGTAGGTATGGATTGGTCAGATGTATCTGGGAGTGTTTGGGAGCTGTGCAGTGTCTAGAACTATGACACATGCATGCCTGCTTCCACCTTCCTGCTGGGATTAATGCTTCTCCCAGCAAAAGTACAAGAAAGGACAGGTGTCTCAATCTCCTTAGTTCCCATGTCCTGTGAAGCTCTCTAGAAATCTCTTAGTTCCTGTACCCTGTGCAGCTAGCAGCTGAGCTCTGAAGATGATTCCCCAGACTGTATGTGCACTTCAACATCTGTTCTGCTTATCCTCTCCAGACCCCTATGGCATGCCTATCTATTGCAGATGAAGAGATTAGCGTCTGCTGGTTTAAGTGGATGTAGGAACAGTCTCTTTGCAGCCGTTAGCCACTTTGGAATTGCTTTGAAGCAGATTTAGTGGTTGAAACTCAAATCTGAGAGTTGACTCCTGGATGTTGTTTCTGGTTTAGTGGAAGAACTCAAGGCCTTTTGGGTGAGCTGGGTCTGGACTCTGCTATTATTTTCCTTCTCTGTAAAATGTGGAGGAGAACCCCTCTTCTGTAAGGAAGAGCTCCCATTGCCTTAATGAAAGGTCACCTTCAGAGTTTAAAAAAAATGAACTACTCTCTGCCACTTTTATTGTGAAACCAATTTATTTTTTAGTTTTTTTAACTTAAAACGTCCTCTGTGGTATGTGACAGGTCCAGCATAGCCTTTAATTCTTTGGGAGACAGTGAGATGACTACCAAAGAGTTCCCCTGTGCCACTGCTTTGTGCCTGGAGAAGTGCTGGGGTAGTTCTCTTGCAAGGGAATTCTGCACAGAGTTCAATACATGAACATATATGCCTATATACTTGCACACAGTGTGCAGGTTTGGTTTGAGAGAGTTTGCTGGTTGCTTGGTGGTAGACCTGTAGGTTTGTGTTCAGAGGAATTAAGATCCTATGCCTGCCAAAGTCTGCATGCCTGGCTTTAACCATGTAAGTAACTATGCCATTGGAGGCAAAGAATTTGCTTGAGAATCAAGGCCTAAATATTTAATAGCACCTATGTTAGAAACTCTGTTCTTTCCAATCCTCTCTTTGCAGCAAGGTTTTGAAATGCCTTGGGTGATGCAAGGGCAGCAAGGAGTTGTAAAACTTAAGGTGAAATCTGAGATGTATGAAAAATTAATAACTTCTCGTTTGTTGGCAAGCTGATTGTAATTTTGTTTGGCATATTGAATTCAAACCATGCAAGCCTGTAGATGCTTCAGTGTCTTGTGTTACAGGAGAGTCTTGTCAAGCATGTCTAATAATGGTAAACTAGTGTTGCTTTTTTGTTAGTTTCTGACAGATGAGTATAATGTCTGTTGACGTGCATTTTGATGCCTGTGTGTCTTTCCATCTTTACTAATGTAAAGGTAGAACTGTGGAGGTTTGATCAGTGGCCAAGCGTCTCCCAGCAAAATAAGAGTTCTTTCTCTCTCTCTTTCTCTCTCTCTCTCTCTATGAGCAATGGGGAGAGTAACTCATGTGTAAATGGTAAGAGCTGCTGGGCTTGATACCGAGTGTGGCCCCAGTGTGATAAAGAATGCAGTTGGTGTCTCCTTCAGCTTCTAAAAGCTTAAGATTGCAGAATGTTTGTGTGAAACACAAGAAATTTGAGAGCTTTTGCACACCTTTGCAGCACAATTTTGCAAAGTTTCCACAAATGTTTTGACATGCTTGTCGGTGGAATGTCAGTGGAGGTCACAAGGGGCTGCCATCTGCCTCTGGCTGGCTCTCTGGCTGAGACACAGGGCTGGAGGTTTGTTGATGGAAAAATGTGGAGATGTGCAAGGAGTTTGGATTATTCTGGAAGACTGGAGAAGCAGCCATGTGCGTATGCTGGAGAGGTGGTTGTATCTATGAATGGAGGTATCCATGTACTACTTGTTGCTACCTCTGGGCTCTCCATTTGCCACCATGCATGCTTGCCTCATCCTGGCACTTTTAACGGGTCTTAGAGAGGTTGTGGGTTTCCACCTGGAAGGAGGAAGTGTGCTTTAACAGGTACAGCAATCTGATTGCCTCCTGAAATCAAAACCTTGATGCCTCAGTCCAGCTTTTTGTCCTCCTCGTACTCCCAAACATCTTAAAACTTTTGCTCCCTGGCTGCCCATGGAATCTGTCTTCCTCAGCAGTCCAGCGTGCTCTGGAGAAGATGGTGGTGAGAAGGCTCTTGGGACATCTTGTTTGGTGTTGCTACTTGGAGTAGCTCTGGGTTTTCCACAGGAAAATTCTACCTTTTAAATTGAAGGTGGAAGCTTTCACATTCTGGGCCTTTTCTGATGAGGCAGAGGGAGCTGCTATGTAAGTATGAGGAAAATGGCCTTCCTGGGGGAGAATGGAAAAAAACAATAGCTCAGCCACCCTTCTGGAAAACCATGTTTTTGCCAGGCAGGGTAACAGACAGGATTTTCCACCCTCCTTGGCTCCATACACAGCAAAGAAGCTGAAAGTGCTGAGTTAGGTATTCCACTCCACCCCTAAGGGCCCTAGGTCCAGGAGGGTAAGCATATTTGGGAGTAGTTCCCCAAATTCATATTATAATCAGCCTATTAATAGGCTGGCTTGGTCCCACCCCCAGCACTTTGGCTGTAACTTTTCTTCTGGGAGACTTGGCTGCCAAAACTAGCGTTCCCTTTGGCATCGGTTCAGGAGCTTGGGGGGGCTGGGGGGGAGGAGGTAAAAAAAAAATTAAGTTGGAGTCCCAATGAATGTAGTGCCAAGTCTCAGCTCGCTGATTGCTCTGCTGCTCCTGGTGGGAAGGGTTGTCATGCAGGGGGAATGCTTTATGGTGGTACCTATGGGTAAAGAGCAGGGGATTGAGTAGATGCAAGAAAGGTCAAGCCTGGGAAAAATGCAAGAGAGAAGTTGGGTGGGGATGCTGGCGAGACTTTTGAAAGCAACAACAAAGGGAAACAAAGGTGAGGGAGAGGGACAGAGTAGATAACTTTTCCTGTTGAAAGGCTGATAGTTTTGTGAGCTGAGGCTTGGATTTGCAGCTTGAGGCTTTGGCCTGTCCTTACAGACAGGGACACTGCTGCCCCTGTAATCCACAGTTCAGTTCCTTCTGGATTTTCCAGAAACTATGTAGAAAGGATGTCACTGGAGAAAACCCTCCTTTTTTTGTAGTTTGGGTGTTAAACGTATTCCTTTCCTCTTCAACGAATACTCTTTCCCCACCCTGGAGCTTTGCTAGTCTAGACAGCTCAAGAAAATGAATGGCTTCAAACACGTGGTAATTACTGATCTTACACGTAAACTGAGTGTAGGGCTTTAGTATGGTCTTGGTTTTCTGAGGTTAGAAATGTTTGAGAATGGGTCTTTCTCCTCCCTTTTGTCTATCCCTGCAGTGGGGATATGAGGGGCAGGACTGTGATAGTTCATCATGTGTCAGGGTTTATGAAGTACCACCAGCTTAATTCTGCTTTTCTGTCCTTCCTGGCACGGGCTTGCCTTTATGAACCAGCTGGCCGGGAAGGTAGTGGGGAGGCCTCCTTTGGAATGAGGGTACAGCTTCTGCAGATGGCTGTGAGCTGGCTGATGTTCTCTGTCCACCTAATCAAGGTAAGCTTAGGACTCGGAAATATCAGCGCTGTGGTGGGAAAAGCCTGTTAAGAGCACTGCCTGTGTCTGTGTCCCCCCTGTGTCTGCATTTGGATGGATGTTTGCTGAACTGTGGTTTAAAAATCTTGGGAAGGGAGCAGCTGCTTCCTCAAAGCAGGTACCTGTCTCTGAAGAACCTGTGCTTTCCCTGCAGGAGCTATCAATAGCCCGTGGGGAATTCTCATGGCTTGTTACACACAAAACAAAGTAGATGCATATATGTTTATTGGAAGAGGAAAAGATCCAGCCTGTCTCCCAGCTGGACTGGAGGCAGCAGAGTAGCTGTTTCTTAGGCACTGTGTGAGCCCTTGCCTTTAATAGAAGCCAGAAACAGAATTGCCTGGTGGAAGCTGGTGCCCCTTTTGACCCAGCTGCTTTGGGTTGGCAGTCTCGTTATCCATTGGACCTGTTGCTTGTAAAACCAGTCTCTAGGCTGTTG